CTCACTTTGTCCCTTTGTCACCCCATCACACACGGAGCTGAAATCCACATAAAACCAGACAAAACTTGCACGGGAACAGCTCTTCCAGCTCCTCACTTGCTCGCTGGTCTTATGTTTAAGGTCGATATTTTTTTAACACCTTTAAAATAAAAGTGTTTTATGGGACGTGAAATATTTGTAAGTAGACTTGGCTGCGTGTCCCAAATGCTTTGGGGTTAAATCACATTATTCCTTGGCTCAAAGGCAATCAAGATTCATCTCTGAAAGTTTGGGGTTTGCTTCAGAGAATCTTCTTGCCCAGAAAAATCTTACTTAGATTCAGGGACAGAGAGGACTGGGCAATGGAGAACATGGAATTGTCATGAAAACACTGATTTTTCGGAAGCACAGACTGAAATTTCACAGGTTTGTACCTTTTTATTTTCAGTAAACAAGTGTCATCCCCCTTTTCTTAGGTCTCTGGGTGTCCCTGAAGCTGCTCCCTGGGGATCTGGCTCAGGTTCAGAAGGATTTTTCTCACCTTGTAGACAGATCTACTGCAGTGGCTCGAAAAATGGGTTTCCCTGAGATCATCCTTCCCGGTAGGTTCCATGTGCTTTTGCATTCCATGGAATGAAAGAGCCACCTGAAATTCTAGAATTTCTGTCAGAAAAAGATTTATTAAAAAAAAAAATTTATTTTTATCTGAAAACTTTTTATTTTTCTTGAAATGTCCAGGTTTTTGGGGTTTTTTTTGGGTTTTTTTTGTTTTTTTTTTTTTTTTTCACAAGAAGTTGAAAACATGAGTTTCCTTTCTTACAGCAAAATGATGGTTTATGGAGCTTCTGGAAGAAAATCTCTTTAGTCAAAGGAGTTTTTATTGCATATGGCTTTGACCCACCCATTCGGAGTGGATTTAACCCTAGAAATTTCATTACATTAAAAAAAAAAAACCGAAAGAAAACCAAACAAAACATCAGGACACAGGTTTGTAGAAAGGAAAATGGTTCATTTTAGAAGATTTTGTGTCATTTGAGATGGAGATGAAAACGATGTGCTGGTGGGTGTTGTTAATGAAAGGCTAAGAGGAAATTAGGATAACGTGGTACCTAAGGGTGTTCAATTTTAACCTGTCACACTGGGAGTGAACAACCAGCTGATTAAACTCTGGGAATTGCAGGTGACGTCCGCAATGACATCTACGTCACCCTGATCCAGGGGGAATTTGACAAAGGCAAGAAGAAAACCCCCAAGAACGTCGAGGTCACCATGTCTGTGCACGACGAGGACGGGAACCTGCAGGAGGTAGGATGGCCTCCGACACCCAAAATATTCTGGATTCATCACCCAAAATATTCTGTATTGACCTTTTTCCCCCGTGCCTGTGTTTTTTCCTCCAAAGAAAGCCATCCACCCCGGGGCTGGCTACGAGGGGGTCTCGGAGTACAAGTCTGTGGTGTATTACCAGGTCAAGCAGCCCTGCTGGTACGAGACTGTCAAGGTGAGGCTCTGTCAGTCCCTGTGTGTCTCTGCTGGGCAGCAGCACGGCTCTGGGGCTCTGCAGAAGGCTGCCCTGACTGTAGTAGAAACCCATTCTGTTATAAACTCTTCTGATATGATGGAATCTGAGCTATTGATGATTCTGAGATTGTAAAAGTCTCTGTCTGTCAGCCCCCTGCCAAAGCAGAAGCCAGAATTGGTCTGTGCTGGTT